CCCCAAACGACGGACCCCTCCTCTGAGTTATTCACCGCTGAGCACTCCCTCGGTATGAGCGTTACACATGTAAGCGGGCTGTTTCTCCTCTCACTCACCTGTCTTTGGTCAGTTTAATTTTCAGGCTCCCAGAACCTAAGAGCGGAGGCAAAGTCTTTCCTCACCAGTATCAATATAAAGTGTGTGTGGCCTTCCACTCCCTCCCCATCAGCCAAAGTAGGGATTTCATTGCACGTCCAAGTGCACATGGCAGGGGTGGAGAAAGACAGAGGAAGATGGAATGGTAAGAATGCCGAAAAAATCATCTCCTCTCCTTCAGTAGCTGATACGGTTTGGCTGTGTCCCCACCCAAATCTCATCTTGAATTGTACCTCCCATAATTCTCATGTGTTGTGGGAGGCAGTATGGGGCAGTTTCCCCCACACGTTTCCCGTGGTAGTCAGTAAGTCTCATGAGGTCTGGTGGTTTTTTAAGGGGAAGGCCCTTTTGCCTGATTCTCATTCTCTTCTCTTGTCTGCCATCACGTGAGATGTGCCTTCCACCTTCTGCCGTGATTACGGGGCCTCCCCAGCCATGTGGAACTGTCAGTCCATTTAACCCTTTTTTCCTTATAAATTACCCAGTGGCATGAAAATGGACTAATATGGTAGTTCAAAGTTGAAAGTGGAGACAAATCAAAATGGATTTTCAGTCAAAAACAAAAACAGAGTGAAGAAGCCAACACTGGTGTAACCATCAGTTTATAACCACCAGCAGAGCCCAAGCGGAATGTCGCTATGATCTAAGTTCCATCATTCGCCCTCAAAATCACCCTTGTGAGAACTTTTAACCAAATCTTGTCGGGCAGTGATAGGGGTGTGGGAGCGGGGGACGAGGTTCTGGCTATTCAAGCTGAACTCACACCCTCGAATGCTGAAGGAAGAATTAAAAGAGAAAGGAAACGGTGACTCTGAGAACCCTGCAGAAATAGGGAGGCTTTGCAGGCTGTGGGAAGCCTCTGTTGTCGTCAGCAATAGTGAGGTACGGTTCTCACTTCCTTCAGATCAAAGCTTTCACTTCATTGGTCTCATTCTTGGTCACTGGATGCCAGGGTCAGGAGAAGGGGTCACTGGTTTTCAGTCTTAGGACACCCAAACTCCTCAGAAATGTCTTTCTTCCTTCTTGCCTTTAAATAACGGGAACTCTGCAATACGAGGGGTGTGTATGTTTATCCCAGGGGAACCACTGCTCCTTCAGAATGTCCTAAGCTGGCCTGTTCGAATCAGACACGCCATGCCGCGATCTGACGAATTTAGGTACACACACACACAGAAACGCTGTCTTCCCTTTGAATAAACTGGTTCATCGCTTTGCTTAACGTGACGCACCATCGTATTATGAACCATAAAGTTCACCTCGTACGTTTTCAGGACAGCAAACTACATACGCTTGGGCCAGGTAACCAAAATTAACGAATGAACAAACAAAACCTTTTTCGGTCAAGTCTCTCAGTTTGGGAATCCTTTTTTTACATAAATCACTTTATAGCCAGATGTTACCCGTGACAGTTGATAAGACACAGGCTTGCGTAAAAGGACAAAAATTAAAGTCAAATAAGTAAAAACACACACCAAATTAACCGCTGCTTAGGAAAAAAATGAAACCACAACATTTCCACAGAGCTGAGCACAATGCACCTAACAGCGAAGATTTGACTTTATCTCCTCGCCTCTGATAAGTGACAGTGAGCTGTAACTCACATGAAATCCTACCAGGATATTTCCTCTTTAAACATTCCGAATAACTATAACAAAGGACTGGAAAAATTATTAAGCTTCTGCCTGGCTTTTATAAAGATGATCACAAACGCCATTCAAAGAAGAGTTAAGACAGTCTTTTCATTTTCCCTCAAGACATTCTGTAACATGTTGAAAAACATATTTAAATGTCTCTAGATGCAGAGAGGTAGAAGGCTTTTTTTTTCCTTATCCCCTTAAGATACAGCCTAAATTCCTTCTCCTGTAATTGAAAATAATGTAGGTGAATTGAGCATATTTAAATTCATTGGCAAGCAAGAAATGTTCTCTTCCAGAACAGAAATGAACTACATGAGAAGCCATTTTTTTTCCTTGGCCCAAAAGCTAGCAAATTTTTGCTTTTCCATACCTGTTGAGGGTAATAATGATAGACTCCTCACAAGTTCAAATATTGCAGTAATTTCTACAAAAGGTCTGGTTGTTGGATAAATAGAAGAAAAATCACCCAGAGACAATCGTAGGTAATAGTGTAAGTTTTCATTATATTTACAAGTCAAAACCTTTACAAAGACACCTTCATCCTTTCAAGTAAATGGGTCTTTACTCTTAGGAGGTGGAAAAACAACCAGAAATCCTAGATGCCAACGGAACGCAATCACACTGCCCTACGGATAATCTCACATCCGCTCTTCCTGAAAACAGTCTTTAGAACTGTGTACAACAGCTCCCACAACCAACCAAGAGGACTGAATGTCATATGTATATATGGCATATAGATACACATATATACACACACATATATATATATATATATTTTTTATCTGTTGTAGAGACAGGGTCTTACTATGTTGTCCAGGCTGGTCTTGAACTCCTGGGCTCAAGCGGTGTGCTGCCTCAGCTTCCCAAAGTGCAAGGATTACAGGCATGAGCCACCACGCCTGGCCTGGACCAAATGTCTTGAATGCAGGTCTCTACTCTTGTACGTTAATTTATTCATGACAGAAAACACGTCTGCCTTTCAGCTAAATGGGAAGATGCCACCTCTCTCTCCTCCCATGTGCACCAAAGAGAATAGCAAAGTTGTCGAGATCTAAAAAGTTGTCGCTTCACATCAGAAGGGAAGAGGTGACTCAACACACAGGACCAGAGCAGGAGAGCTCCCGCTGACTGTAAAGCTGTCATCCTCAGCAGCTGCTGTGAGACGCTGCTATGATCTAGTACAGTTGCAACCCAGCTCAGACAGACGTTTTCTCATTAGAAGTTGCTGTGTAAGAGTTTGCTATGGAACTTTCTGTCATATTTGATATAGCAGGTAATACGCTGCCTTTACAATTCAGCAGAGCCGGGTTTCACCATGTCTGTTTTGATTGTATCGGGCTGGATTTAATAAAAAGCTCTGATCGACTTGGTAACATGAAAACGAGTGCAAACACATGCAAAACGAACTCCCTCTCACCGTGGAGCGGGAGCGAGTTTCTGGCTTATTTGGAGGCAGAGGAGGTTTTAATGGGAGCTAAGATTTTTGTACTTTTATTGTATCTGTGTCCATTAGGTGTACATGGACTGTACTGAATTTTGCAGCAAAGTTTTAAAATAAGAAGGATTTCTCCATTATAAACACTTGCTCATGTTTTCTGCCCCCACAACTTCTACAAACTTGTAAGAAAATGTGCCACTACTGCTAAAGATCTCTTTAAATGAGAAAAATATGAAATATTAAAAAGACATGTTTTTCTCTGAGTTACAGGTAAAGCTCACTTAGATATTTCTTGAGAAAGAAGGAAATGATGAAATGTAGCAGCATCTTTAATCGGCCTGCCATTTCTGCAAATAAACCCCCTTCTTGAGACGGAGTCTCGCTCTGTTGCCCAGGCTGCAGTGCAGTGGCCAGATCCCAGCTCACTGCAAGCTCCGCCTCCTGGGTTTACGTCATTCTCCTGCCTCAGCCTCCCGAGGAGCTAGGACTACAGGCGCCCGCCACCTCACTCGGCTTTTTTTTTTTTTTTTTTTTTTTTTTGGAGTAGAGACGGGGTTTCACCATGTTAGCCAGGATGGTCTCGATCTCCTGACCTTGTGATCTACCCGTCTCGGCCTCCCAAAGTGCTGGGATCACAGACTTGAGCCACCGCGCCCGGCCAACCCTCTTCTTATCTACATATATTCTCTTACACTTTGGTGATTTGGCAGATTATGATTAGACCATAAGTGACGTTTACCGAATCTAAAACCCCAGAGTTGTTCAAAAATGACACCAGGAATGCTAAGTGGATTGCTGGCAATGAATGTTGAGTGCGGCACAAAACAATCTCTAAACATCTTTACTCACAGTACTAGCATGAATTAACTATAGAGGAAAATAGTACTGATCGTACAAATTATTTAATATTTCTCAATTTTCAGTATGCATAGGGCAGGTGCCTTCTCTAAAGGAAGCTTAGATATCCTCTAGCCACTGAAAACTGGTTTCCTCTTTTAAAAAAAAATCATTTCTCGAATGTTACATCTCAAAGATCATTAAGAAGTCAACTAGTAAAACCTATTCTATTTGAAACCCAGAGATGAATATTAAAAGTCCTCTCTAGCACTCTAAACAATTATTCAACATAAAATTATCTTAGAAACGGATCTTTTTCTATGTACCTAAATAACCAAGTTCAAGTACATTGATAAGGTTCCTGCTCTCAATTTCAGAGGTCAAGAAACTTAACGAAAGCAAAAATGTCACCTTTCTAATTAGCCTATTTCCAAATAAAAGAAAGTCACTTGACTCCATGTCAACCCAGATTTCACTGCCATTTACTTAACCCAGACCAAACATGCACGGGTTCCTTTAATCTGTTAGAACTGTCAACTGCCAGAAAAGAGAGCATTTGCATTTAGCATAGTCTTTATAATATCAAAAATGAAGAGCTGTTTGTGAACATAGTATAATAATGATAAGGGATATCCTCTCTACAAATTTCCCCCTTTTGCTTGAATAACCTATTATTGGTCCTGAAACATATCAAGTTTTTACGCCGAATGTTTAATATAATAAAATATTAGTTAAGGAAATCTCTACTTCACTTTAGGAATCCTAAGGCCTAAGGCAACGCTGTATGGCAAAAATGCCAATAAATTTACAGTCATCCATAGAACTACAGAATGAACGTCCTTCAGTTTGTTCCATTTCTCAGGGCTGTGTCACAAAGAGAAGTGGCAAGTTTCGAAGTAGCAGGTGAAGTATTACAAAAACCCTTGCTTTCCAGAATTGAAAACACTTACTTGGCCTTCAATGTCTCCTCCTGGAAATTCCAGTGGGGATCTTCTACCAGCTGTAATTCTCTTAATACCCTTCCAGGCTTGTAGGCCGCGTTGATTATCATGCTGAGAACCTTTTGGGGGAAAAAACAGGTAGACTGAGCTGCAATTGCATTTATTCCTACTAACACAAGAATGCTTTGAAAACCACACCACTGACACTTAGGAACAGCTCACCATTACACCCACATTAAGTGAAGAACTATGATTAAGTCTGACAGAACACGTGCCAGGCTAACACCGAGTTGTTTCACCATCCCGGGATGAAAAGCGTGGTAAAATCCAATCTCTCTGGCTAGAAAAGTGTGAACCACTCTCTAGAGGAGGTGGCAGACTCCCATTAACTCTTCTAGTTGCAGAAAAGTTGAACCATTTTCACCAAAGAGCAATTTATTGTACTTCAACAGGATTACTCTTCAGCTGGATAGGCTACTGAGAATTTCATTCTATTTTTAAAGATTTCATAAGGAACCAATGAAACAGAGACAATCTACTCATGCCAACACTTCTGGAGAGGCTTCAGATGCTTGCAAGGAGGGTAACAAATTGTGTGACACTCTCCTCTTGCAGGCTTAATTCATGGACATCTAATACTAGGGCAACCCTCTGAAATGTGAATATTTTCAAAGAGCGTCTGGAATATCCAGCACCATCCAATATCATATTTCCTCCATCCACCCCTCACTCCAAAGACCAAGAAAACAAGCATGTGTCTACCATGGGGCTCAGGAAGAGCAGGCATTTCTGAGAGTCCCAACTGCTGACCCTGGGGAGATATGTTCCTGTGAACCTCAATGAGCTTCTCAGACCCCTAAGGTGCTCACCTTTCAAAAAGTAAATCATCATTAATGATTAACATTGACGAGTTCTGGCACATTCCTGGGCTGCTGTTATTTGCATAAAGACCTTACAGAATGTGAGAGTGCAAAGCAGAGGCCTAGGTGTGGAGCTTCATGAAATGACCCTCTGTGAAGCTCCACTGGGTGACAGTAGCAGGAACAAGACGGGGAGAGCATGCAGCGTCCGTGCCTCCTGCAGGCTGTCCCGGTGCAGAAGTTGGAAGGAGCACGCCAGGCATGGAGCTCACATTTCGGATTTCAGAGCAAAATACCATTGAGAGAGCAAGAGATATACCCGAGTGAGATGCGAGACTGGCACTAGTGCCTAAATGCTCACTATCTTTTAATGGAGACTATTACAAAATAAATGGAAGGAGATGGGAGAATGTGGATGGAATATGCATGTCGCAGTTTTCACGGGTCTGTCGTGTTCTGGAACGTAACGAGCTTGGTTTGCACCCTGATTTATTTCCGAAAACAACAAAGCGTTCTCAAGTTGTAACTAAGGATTCGCTCTTAAAATACTTTACACTATGCAGTCAGCCCGGCGACTGCCTTTTCTCTGCCTGGGTAACATTTTGCTATGTTCCAAGAGCCTCAAAACTACCCACCAAGAGAATGTGGCTTGCCAAGGTGCTAAAAAGCCATGACAAGGCGGTACCAGCAGTTTTGTTGCGTTTGTGTTTTCTGTATTAGAATAATCATCTGATTTTACTGTTTACTGTCAGTACAATTTACAGAAACTCAGTTTAAAAATAAATCTAATTAGAACAGACTGCAATAACGCACACAGTGTTTATCAACAGACAATAAAATTTCAACAGATTCTTTTCATTGGGTTTCCTGAGAAAACCCCAGAGCTACATGTTATTTGCTGCATATCGAGATGCATTTGGTGACTGTGAAAAGAAACTGCCTTCTGGAGTTCAATTCGGCTGGAAGCAGGCAGCAATTAAATTATAAAAAGCATCTGATATTGAATGTTTTTCCCTTGGCTTTTCTCGATGCCACATCATACGTCTCCAAATTCAACAAGCTCTCTATAAAACTTTGGAATTGTGAGCTGAGTAATTTCTGTGCACATGACAATGTCATGTATTATAGTTACCTAATGAAAATAACAAAGTAGACAGCTACTATGACTAGCCACAGTTAAGACTGAATTACTGTGCTTTGCAAAACACTGGAGTTCAGTTCATTGTGTTCTTGATCAGACAGGGTAGCAGGGAGACTGCCCCCCGCCCCCCGCCCCCCGCCCCCCGGAACTAACAGGACCTTAGGTGCCTCATCTTCCTCCACTGATACGGTTTGGCTGTGATCCCACCCAGATCTCATCTTGAATTCCCATGTGTTGTGGGAGGGACCCTGTAGGAGGTAACTGAATTGTAGGGCAGTTTCCCCCATAATGTTCTCGTGGTAGTGAATAAGTCTCATGAGGTCTGATGGTTTTATAAGGAGTTTCCCCTTTTGCTTGGCTCCCATTCTCCCTTGTCTGCTGCCATGTAAGACGTGTCTTTTGCCTTCCACCATGATTGTGAGGCCTCCCCAGTCACGTGGAACTAAATCTATTAAACTTCTTTTCCTTTATAAATTGCCCAGTCTTGGGTATGTCTTTATCGGCAATATGAGAACGAACTAATACATCCCCCACCTCATTTTTCAGCTCTTTTACAGTAAAATCCTTAAGAAGAGTCTACGCTCAACAGCGCCTTTTTCTCTTCTTCAGTCCTCTCTGGAACCCAATCCAATGGGGGCTTTTCTGTGTCCACAATGTTCATGAAACTGTCTTACTCAGATGCCTGGTGAGGGCACATGGCCGAAAGACTGGGCAGCTCTGGTTCTATTCTCACCCTGCTGGCAGGGGCTTCCCCGCCTTCCACCTCACCCTCTGAGAGCCTCACCTCCCAACAACGGCCAGGGCAATCCTTTAAATCACAAGTCAGATCAGGCCTTTCCTCTGCTCTGTTCTTCTCTTAGGATTGTTCTTCCTGGGAAACCCTTCCAGACCATCCTTCCCCATCCAGGTCTTTACTCCAAAGTCCGTATCAGAAAGGTCCCTGCCGAGTAGCCTCTGTACACAGCACCTTCCTCCCTTCATTCTCCAGCCTCTCATGGAAAATTTGTCTTACTATTAGTACAGGATTATTCTGTAATTGGCTTATTTGTTCACCATCCACCCCCACTAAGACATAAGCAGCAGGAAATCAGGGACTTCAATCTGTTTGCTGCTGTATCCATGGTAGATAGAACTATAACTGGCAAGAGTAGGGTGCCCTATAGATATTTTTTGAATTAGTTCAATAATTTCAATATGGGTTCTGAAATTAGATAAAATTATTCTGTTCATCTAAAAATTAACAATAAATTCACTCCAAGTATTTGATACCATATGATCTACGTGAATGGAGCCTCAGGAGTTATCATTTGCTATTGCTTTTCATTGCTGCAAAATCTTATCCTATGCTATGCTAAGAAAGTTCATCAAATTTATCTTGTCTTCTCTATGGGAAAATAATTAAAGCCTGACAAGCAAAAACAATGTGCACTTTTCCTTTGCCAGCCTTCCCTCAGCACCACAGACTATGTGAGTGTGTTAGTTTACACCCGCCCACAAGCTTGGTACATTATACTTAGTGGGTTAACTAATATTCGGCATAAATTTAAAACAGCAGCAACAAAAACACAGCAGGGTATCTTCCAGAGGCCTGTCTGCATCTGTCTTTGATTCTGAGCACCGACTTCACCGAGGTCAGCTGGGTAAGACATTCCCTCTGTCCAATACCACTTGGAAAAGTCCTCGATACGAGACCATCATTCCTACTCCCTTAACACTGCCTCCCCTGGGTGCTATCGAGAAACGTATGGCTGCTTCCAAGAATGAAAGCTCTTCTCCTACCGTCAAGTTTATGAACAGTGAGGGCTGCTTGGGGCAGCCGACTTTCAGGGTTCCCACCAGAAAGCTTTCTGGTTTTTAGGTACAAGTTGTTGAGAGTGATAGCCCAGGACAAATGCTCAGAGCTCCACAACGAAGGGGAAATTCAAACAGCACACGACAGACTCCCCAAATGTGAGAGCCACACACCCCAAACAAAAAGACAGAGGGAAATCACTTAAAGAATCAACCACAGGGCAGAAATCGAAACCATAAATAACAGCGGAGGCCAAATCCCAAACTGCCAGGTCCCACTTGCAAGATCCAAAACTGCAGGTGACCAGGAGCCGGAGTCACTTGAAGCCCTTTGGGGGTTGGGAGTCACATCACTATTTGCAGTGGGGTATCTCGTGACTCAGGGAACGGGGTTTGGGGGACATGCATTCTGGGCCAGGGGTTGCGTTTTTATTTTTTTTTGGGGTTGCTGGGTCTAGCCTATCACCCTAGCCTTCGACCTCAGCTGAGGTTGCGTGGTCTCACCAGCATGCTTGGCAAACGGCGGTGGGAAGATTACACTGGAGCAAAAGCAGCCGTGAGACGCGCGCTCTTGACAGGGGTCCTGGGGTGCCAGTTCCCGGGCTTTGTCTTGAATTTAAGCACAAAGAAGAAAGAAGAGAGCAGACAAATCAGGTGTCCTGTTTCTACTTTCTACAGAAAGTTGCAGGCTCATTGCTTTCTTTCTATAAATGTTCCTCTTTAGCTCCTGAACTGGACTGCCAAAAAGCGACACTAGGGAAAGCCAGGTCTGCTGCCAGAGCGAACGGCAAATCGGGGAACTCTGGCGCTGCTCCGCCAGCACCCCAAAATCATGCGGAAACCACAAAGGCAACAGATGCCCACGTGAAAAGGATGTTTCCCTTTATTCTGAAACAGAGTTAGCATACTGTCACTGACATTTCATCTATATGATATTTTAAGCCAAAATAAATTCTAAGAAACCACTAGGCTCGCAAGTCTCGAGATAGTCGCACCCGTGGGACTTTCTCAAGGAGACACTGTCTGCAACCCCATGAGGTTCGTGGAGTTCTGTGAAGGCAGAGGTCCATCGCCCTGCCCAGATGGGTGTTTCAGAGCATTTTGCCACGGAGCGCTTGGTGGTCTCTCTCACCTGTCATCACTGGGTCTTGGTCTGCAGCTGAACAGTCATCTCCAGGCCACGGGCATGAGTAACATACATTTAGATGTTCCATCCCTGTTGGCTCTTTGTGCCAGGCTGGGCTCACTCGTTCACTTTCTCTTTCAAGCTATGCAGAACTAGCTGACGCACGTCTAGTAAAGTGAGGACTCAGGGCCTGGTGAGTTCATTGACGATTGTATGTACTGTTACAAGGCAAAATTTCCTGAACAGCCCTCCGTGCAACGGCAAAAGGACACCAACAGCCTGACAACACTCTTTTGGCCATAGGGAGGCAACCCACAGTTCTTGCATATGACAAGATCCAAGTTTATCTCTCTTCTGGGGACCCCTGGTCCTCGGGGAGGCATAGGTAGAAGATTTGAGATAGGAAAGATGATCCGCCAATGACAATGACCCTACTGAGTATGAGCATGTGACTTAGGATAAAAGCACACTAGCTGCTTGTGCGCTACAACTCTACCCTTCGTGCGACTGGGGCACAGGCATCCTGTAAAAGGCCCAGCATGTGAGGGGCGGTCATTGGCTGGGCCTGCCCTTCCACACCAAGGCCTGCTTCGTTCTGAGTTTGCTTATGGGATACATCTGGACCTGAATGGAGCAGTGAGTGACTCTGGTTCCAGCTTCTCCCAGGTCCCCGTACCTCTCCTCACTGCACCCCCTCGAATTGGGGCCAGACACACTCGTGGTCCCCTCCAAACCCCACTTGGCTCTAACACCCATCAAGTGAGTAGAGCCATGCATTAAAGACCACTTTTACCAGAAACTTCGTCCTCTCTTGTAAAGTGGTCCACTCAGATAGAACCCAGAACTAGACTTTGAAGCCTGCACTGAACCTTGCCAAAGACCATGTCTGCATCCACCCGCCGAGACATTGTCTATTTCTGGCAGAACAGGTCATCATAAACCGCTCTCACTGCACATCTCCTACACATAAAGTGTTCAAGTTGCTCATAACACCGATGGCCAGGAAAAGCAATGCACTCTGTCTTTGCTTCCATTACCTCATTCTCTTTAACCAAAATGAAATTTGAAGCTACAGAGGTTCTGGTACTGAAAGAGGAGCATTAGCATAAATATTAACTTGGTGGAACTTACATTTTTCTTGCACTCACAGAACTGAAGCACTCACCTATTTTTTTGTTTGTTTTTCTTTCTTCCTGCCACACGCATTTTTCAAACATCAGCAAAAAACTAGTTCTGTCATTAGAAAACTGCTCTGGCCTCACTTTTAAATTTGGCTGTGGGCACCTATTGGAGAATTGACCAGGGGTAACTACTTTTGACTTAAAAAAAATCCTTTAGTAAAGTAAAACAGCCAGCCCCTCAAGACAGGCTGAAGCCAAGGTCATCTTGTTTGTTAACAGAGCTGGCAGATAAGGGAAGGTCTCATTTCAATAACAGAATGTGTCATGTGAAACAGGCTTGCAGGTAGCTTCAAAAAAGGCCATCAGCTCTCCGTAATTTTGTGTTTTTGTGTCCTCATCCTATCACTCACAACAAAACCAGACAGAAATACAGGCAGACAACATTGCCCTAGTGGAAATCCATTCACAGACTGACAGCTGTGGCAGACAGAAGAAAGTCAATTCTCGCTTTAGGGTCCTATTTCCTATCCTATGGTGGCAGAAATTCTTATGTGTAATCCTGGCTTGATTTCTGTCTGGATTGAGTTTAATATCTATAGGGCTCTCCAATCTGTGCCAATTTATTCGCTTAGCATTAACTAGCAGTCCTGCCGCTTAACCACACTGCGGAGCCCTTCCCAGGGTGTGGCCCTTCCAACTCAATCACCATTTTCTTTAGCTGTAAAGTTCTCATGTATTGAATCTACTTGCCACTTATGCTTAGTGAGATGTGTACTGTTTGATTTCAAGACATGATGCCAAATGCAGAAATGAGCTAGTTACAAGGAAGGCAGCTCCACTCTGCTGCTAAATGAAGATGTGTATGAAGGGCCTGGTACAATGGCCAGGCCTGTGACAGACTCTAAACATGAACAAGGGCCCTTTCTGGGTCCATCCCGTGCAGTCTGCAAATTTCAGGTGCTGTGAGCATCCTCTCCTCTTCCCTCTTTCATCCCCTGCACCCCAGATGCCCCAGCCTTGTTCCCGCTCCTCTCCCTATCTGGGGCAGGCCACCTGTTCCACGGTCCCCACAGACTGCGGATGCCTCCAGTGTGATCTCAAAGCGTGTATGCCAGGAACCTGGGACCATGTGGCTACATTCTATTTACCTACTCATCTTTCCCACTCAACTGGACGCTCATGTGTGGCAGGGATCACCTGCTAAGCATTCTACATGCTCCCGAATAAATGATCACAACAATAGCCTCGTCGATTTCTGACAGGTTTCTTCTAAACTGTAACCCCTACTTCCTCTCTCAAGCAGACGTTTTTTCTAATATAAAGGTCTTTAACTATGAATACCACTGATGACCAGGAAGAGCAAACGCCCTCTGACTTTGCTTCAATGGTCTCCTTCTCATTAAGTGAAATGATATTTAAAAACCACACAGAGGCTCTCGTGCTCCATCCATAGATTCAAGTCCAAATCACTTAAAATACCAGAGAAGGCCTTTCACAAGCAGGCCCCATCCACTTTGCTCCATCCAACCTCACACTGAAGCGTCAAGGCAGGCCAGCTTCCTGTTTTTCTTCTCAAAATCTAATGCATCCTTTTATGCCACTGTTTATCTCCAGCCTAAGTTCCAGCCATACCTGACTTTCCTTTCTGGAACACACCTTGAATGCCCACCTGTGTGGCCATGCCCACACTGTGCAATCAGGATCCTACGCACTCTGCCTAAGCCAGATGAAATGTTACTTGCCACATATCTGTCCTCCACTCTGTTCCCAGGGCACTGTGTTTCTGCCTCTCTCTCAGACCCCCAACTATACATCAAGCTGAGGATTACATCATCTCCCTAACAATAGCAGGAAACCCCAACAGGCAAAAGGCAGAGTCTATTTCTTTTTTAATCCAGTGCTTCCAATGGTGCCTGGCTCCTCAAAGTTACCTAACAAACATTTGTTCAATGGATCAATGGATTGCTGTGCCCGCAGAATTTTAAGAAACATTCATCATGGTACAGTGGCAATAGAGAATATCCATTTGGTATCTTCTTTCTTCAGAGAAAGGACTGATATGTGTAAGAAAAGAGCAGAGAGAGTTCCAGGAAGAGTTTGGAAACTATTCCAAATTTCCAATCTGTCTCCAAGCACTGTCTGAGGCTATGCTAGAAAAATGCAACGGAGAAGAAGGCTTCATCAACATCCTCAGGATTCACCTCTCTCTGCAGGTCGTCGCCTGAAGGCAGCAGGACAAATGGGGAGCCACAGCCTCCAAGTGACGGGCCTGGATGTGACCCATGACACAAACCTCATCAAAGTACCAGGAGACCATTGAAATACTTACCATTACCTCCCGTGTGCACGTACCAGGTGCTGGGAAGAGATGGATGAAACAAAAAGATGGCACAGCACCATGACCTGGCCAAGGAGCACCATTCTCAGTGATAATACCCTCTGCTGCCTCGTGAAGTCCTCTGTGCCATTCCAGGCTGGTTTACCTCTCTGGAAACCTCAACTCCAATCCTAGGCCCTCAATCCACACACAATCTTCCCTCTGTCTTTCCAAAGCACTTCATTCAAATCTAGTGCAACGTTTCCCCCTAATTCGAGGGGAGGCAGATGTGTGTCCCCTCCCCCTAGACGGGGAGTCTTTCATGGGTCAGAGCATCATTTTTCTGTTTGTGTATCTCTGGCTTCAGCCCCCAGGACAGAGAGAAAGGAGGTCTCGGTAAATGCCAACTGAATTGCTTCCGATATCTGTTCCCTCCTTCAGAAACTGGGCCCACAGCTTTTTGAAAAATCCTGTTAAAATAAGCCAAGGTGATTGTGCACGGGTTTTACCTCTTTAAGAACCAGCACGCATTTGCCCGGTCCCACCGACTGAGGTAGCTCTGCGATCCTTCCTTTGTTCAGGTAAGGGCCTGAGAAACACCTGTGGTTGATGAAGAGCTGAGGACAGCAGTATTTCCCGTTGACGGTTCCTGCAGGGGAGAGCAACACAGCCCATGCTTAGGACCACAGCCCCAGACTCTAGGGGGCCCCGAGACCCTTGCTTCATCCACATGGTCAGGGAAAAGGAGCACACAGAGCTGTCCAAGATCTTGGCTGATGGGGAGTCAGGCATAATAAAAGCAATGGAACCCAAAATGAACACAACAACCGTGACGGCCAGTGTCGTTAGAACTGTAATTAGGAAGCCGCACTCTGGTTGAAAATTGTGACAGAGGAGCAAAGAAAAACAGATGATTTTCTTCTTTTGAGAAAGAGGTGCTGTGTCCTAATAGCAGGACATTTTATATCCTTAATGATACCTTGGAAATTCTGGTTAATTTTTCCAGATTGCATGAGTCTGGTGTTCCTCATGCCACACAAGTGTGTCAACTTCACCACACACAGAAGCATGCATGTGCCTATAAGCAACATTTGATATCCTTAATGATACTTTAGAAATTCTGAATCATACTTTCTGCCATATAAACAAACTTTTCTGTTTATGATGCAGTATTCAAGACACACAAAAAGACACGAAAGCTAAGACAATGACCACTCCAGAATCATTATATAGTTCAAGGACAAAAACATTGACTACACAGTGAAATCCTGTGTGTCACCCACCCCAGTGACTCCCCTAACCTGCACCCCTAGAAGTCACCACAACCCTGAATCTGGTGTCCATCATGCCACATAAGTGTGTCAGCTTCACCACAGACAGAAGCAGGACAATATATGATATTTTAAACATATTCCATAAATGATTTCCTGCGAGATTTTGTTTGTTTGCTTCACAAGAAGTTTCTGAGATATATCCAAGTTGGTAAATGCGGATCTAGAAAGTTCATTCATTTTTTTACTTATTTGACTCTGTTGAATTAATATAGTATCATTTAGCTGTCTAGTCTCTTACTGATGGATATTTAGTTGTTTCTACTTTCTCAGGACTGTCAACAGTGCTTTCATGAATACGATTGTGAAAAACTTCTGCATGTGGGCAAGAGAGTCTTGCAGGTGCGTAAGAAGAGCGGGCTGGCTACGCCACCTCTGTGTATCTGTATCTTCTGTTTTACTAGACATGGCCACACTGTTCTTCACAGTGACTACCCCAACTGACACTCTTGTGAGCACCATGGAAGGGCTCCTATAGTCCCACACCCACCCCAACACTGGTTCCTGTTGCACTTCTCCATCCTGCCAATTTGATGAAGGTGACGTAGACCTCACTGCAGCTTAAGTGTACATGACCCATATTCTTCTTTCAACTCAGAAAGGGAACAGGGAGAGCTGCTGATCTTGCTGTCTCCAATGCCATGGGCAAGCAGAATAATTAAATGATAAGACCTCAATCTAAAGTTTCTTTCTTACAGGTGGTGGCTCACGCCTGTAATCCCGGCACTTTGGGAGGCTGAGGCGGGTGGATCACCTGAGGTCAGGAGTTCCAGATCAGCCTGGCCAACACGGTGAGACCTCATTTCTACTGAAAATACAAAAATTAGCCGGGCATGGGAGTATGTGCCTGTAATCCATCCTGGGTGAAAAGAGAAAAACTCTTTCTCAAAAAAAAAAGAAACTGTTTTTTTTGTTTTGGTTTTGAGACAGGGTCTCACTTTGTTGCCCAGGCTGGAGTGCAGTGGTACAATCTTGGCTCACTGCAATCTCCACCTCCTGGGTTCAAGCGATTCTCCTGCCTTAGACTCCTGAGTAGCTGAGATTACAGGCACGTGCCACCATGCCTGGCTAATTTTTGTATTTTTTAGTAGAAATGAGGTCTCACCACGTTGGCCAGGCTGGTCTCGAACTCCTGAGCTCAAGGAATCTGCCTGCTTCAGCCTTCCAAAGTGCTGGAATTATAGGCATGAGCCACCATACCAGGCCTAAAGTTTCTTAATGTCTATAAATGTAGAACGAGGTTTCACTTCTGGCTAAGGGAGTCACCGCCCCCACCCTGACTCTACCCAAGCGCCAAGCGAAGCAACACTAACAGTGGAATTTCTGCAAAACCACTGCTATTAATTTGGGATGGTAATTTAACAGTCTAGGAAGGCTTGTTCTCATAAAGACTTCAACTAAGAACCAGCAGAGGTAGGAGGCAGACATGTTATTCTTCTGGATATAAAAGAAAAGGAGTAAAATTACAATTATAGACTATGAAAGTGTAGCTGGCAAGGTTCTTTTAAAACCATTCTAAAGTTTGAATTATATAAAACAGTCAAAATAATGAAGTCCACAGCAGAATTTACATGGAAATTTTTTGGTAGGATTACTCTGCCTTTAGATTACCAGGCCTGTAGAAAAACAAAATTTTAGTTAAATCTACTTATAAAACAGCTCTTTACTACCAAGATAATCTCCTAGTAGGATTCTTCCATGACATGTTGGTTTTAATCCTGGAATTCAGAGCAGGTTTCATTTTGGCTTAGAGAATAGACTTTTTAATCAAGTATGACAAAGTACAAACGTGTCTATTACCAGACTTCATAGTCAGAGGGTAGCTCACAAACGTATTTCCAAAGGTTATTGTAGGATGTAAGACTTTACACAATACAAAACATATATTGTTCACAACCAGCTCGTTAGAGGGTTTTAAGGAACAATTCAAAAGCCAGAGGCGACTTAAATACTAACAGTAAGTGGAAAAATGCAAGTGGAACCGAAATAAAATGTCGAAAAAGAAATTGCCTAATGAGATGATATTTTCAACACTTTCCTTTTCCCCATGATACACAGCCCTAATTTGGCTCCTAATTTGCAAGTCACACATAAACCGTTTTTCTATAGACTAGAGCTATCTAGAACTACTGGCCAAAAAGCAGAAAAGAAGAGGCACAGAGAATTTAGCTTAGAAATTTTTCTTTTTGAAAAGTAGGTATCCGTTCATGAGTGGCAATGGAGAAAAACGGAACAGGCTCAACGCTGAGATGTATTCACAGTGACCTAGAAACATGTACATGTCTCTGCTCCCGGCTGCACTTGGGAAGGCACAGAGACCCCTAAATGGGACCGTTACCTGTGGCGTCCAGGTGAGGGAATAAACAAAGGTCATGAGGTATTTTCTTAACAGGCACTGTGGGCGGCAATCTGTCAACAGAGAAAATAAAATGATCAGGGACTGCAAGCTTTAGAAGGAACTACTACATTCCAAAGTCTTATCACAATTTAAAAGGACTCTTCCAGAAATCTCAGATAAGAGGACCATAGAATAGAATGTGTGCATGGGAGCAATGCCAGTAAGACCAGATGAAAACAGCATTTCAGAAAAGTAGTTGTCCAATTCTTTGGATGGCCCTGGAAAGCCTGAGACATCTGCCCCTGAGCGGCTGGCACTGAGCAGTGAGTTTCTCCCAGGTTGCTTCTGGCCTTGTCTCCTGCTATGGAATTGTAATACTGTCTTCAATTATATTTTAAACACGAAGAAACGTTATCTTACATTGGATTAAAGTCAGACTTTTCCACTTCGATGTCTAATTGAAAACCACTTTCCACTAACCTTTGATTTCTGACCTCCGGGCCCCTGTGAGTCATGGCCACACTAAAAATAAGACCCTAAAAGAAAATCTATAAACTGGCGAGTCTTCAAATGCAATACAGGCTTAGTCCAGGACAGAGTTCTGTTATAGTTCAGTAAAAATGCTGCTGAATAAATAGGTGTTTTAAAATGCAGCCTTAGGGGTAAAGAGGCACACTAGGTTTCACAGGGGTGTCTAGGTTGGTGGCATAGAAACCACATGGTTGAAAAGCTCCTTAAGCTCGAAGTCAACCTTTACAAGAGATCGTAGCAAGGCCATCTATGCAGTGGTTCTCCAAGAGGGGTCCCGAGACCCACAGCATTGACACTACCTGTGAACTTGTTAGAAATGCAGATTCTTGGGCCCCATCTCAGACATTCTGAATCAGAAATTTTGAGGATGGGGCCCAGCAATCCGTGTGCTCCAAGCTCTCTAAGTGACCGACACACGGGAAAGGTAAGAATCGTTAATCCATGGGCTGCGCATTTAGGAGTGATGGATTCAAGTCTAGATTCAGTCGCAGGTGTGTTATGAAATCTCTCTACTTCAACATCAGGTGGATAACATGGAGTCTGGTTATGAGCCGCACACACTGCATTTCGAAGCAAACCCACAAAAAAACACCTACAGAACTGTTCTTCTCATTCATATAGTACAGTTACAGTTCAATTTCATTTTACTTAAATTTAAACTCGACTACTGCACATGAAAAACGCTGTTTTCAGCTGTCTTTCCACCAGTGTATTTTTATTTACTTAAGGAAGCAGAATCACTTGGCATGGAATGCACATTTTAGCATTATTTTAAATACTTTTCAGTATCTACAAATGTTACTAGCAGTCACAACTTTCCAAAAACACACTGCCTGCGTGGACACACTTTGCCAACACCCTCTTTCCACATAAAGTCACAACTGAAATGCGGGACACCCTCTTTCCGTAGGAAATCACAATTGAAATGGGGGACAGGGCATAATCTGTATTTGTTCAGCCTACAACTTAAGGCCTACACTTTTTTTCAAATGGAATCTAATTTAATCTTCCTAAGTACCTCAAATCATATTTTATAAACCAGAGCACTGAAAGGGAGAGAACCAGTGCTACTTGCTCAGGTTCACTCAGCAGAGCTGGGGTTGGACTGAAGTTTTCTGACTCCCAAACCCGGGCTACTCTAGGAGAGGTGAGTAAGCAGCAGCATTCTGAGTGTGGTGAGGGGCTGCGAGTCGAAACCGCATCTGCCACGTGGGGCCCCTGCAGACGCTGAGAACTGCGAGCACAGACAGCCATTTCTCTCAGTGTGTAGGTCAGGGGCCCTCCCCAGGTACGTCGAAGTGGAATAAAAAGTGAGCCATGGGAATCTGGACTGTGAGTGCGCTGGGGAGAAGGCACTGTGTCCTGCACATAATGGGTACACAACAAATAACAGCCACTAAGTTTTACTGCTACCTCTACTTGGGTGCTATTTGCTAGATAACACCAATAAAAACAGCCATGCTTCCCATCCTCCATAAAGACACTACAGTTTATCGGTATACAGTACAGTCGGGGAGGAAAAAAGCACGTACTGTTTCTCTGGTTGCACGACTGCAATCTTTCTCTTCTTTTGTGCTGTAGAAAAGGCAAAGGGGAAAAAAGAAAGTCAGCTTTGTTAGTGGGGCAAGTCCATTTTTAAAAATAGGTTATAAAGTAAAAAGGTACCCATTTTAAAGTAGTAATTTAAATGCTGAAAAGTTATGTCACTCACACCACAATTTCCTATCAGTTTCTTCTAGCATAGGACAGACGTTAACTCACCAGATGTCAGATCTTAGTACAACTTAGTTCATGTAATCTGATCATTACACTAGCTACTTCATTTTTAAATGTGCATCCAAGAAAGCAAAAGAGTACACCTGCTGTACCTCACGTAAGCACACACGTTCAGATCAATTGTTGCAAGCAATTATCCAGAATGATTTTTTTCCGAGAAAAATTGTGACGAAGCAAATCATGTGACCATCACAGCACTCTCCCGAAGTGCTGTCAGAGGCATGCATGTCAACTCAAACATGTTATTCACAAAAGGAGAACCAGGAGCTCACAAATAGGCCTGGTCAAACATTGACATAAATGAGCAAATAGTGATTTATTTGGATAAGAACATTTCCAGTTTATATTTATAACTGATTCGGATCACCTTAACAAAAATAGACCAAAGCTTTTGGCATCTACTAACTTTGGCTCAGATACTCCTACATCTTCCAACATAAGCATACATTAATTCCAACAAAACTTCTAAAGCTGCTAGAGTCTGGCAGGTTTGGAGTTGGAGTTTGCCTCTTTCAAGCAAAATGTATGTGCAAGAAATGCAAGCAAAAATAAATAAGAAAAATACTCAATAAGATCCCACCTACTCTTGACTATTGGACATTCAACTCCAGTTATTTCTACAAAAAGGTCCACACTAAGGATCTGTCAGGTGAAAAGTGAGTTTGGAATACTTGTCTCCCCTGGTCTTTGATAATGGGGTGAGGACGCCTGACCCCCTGGGAAAGAGCCAAGCACAACAGACAGATCCAAAATCCTAAGGAACGAGGAAACTTTACAGCGTTTACCTTAACCTGTACGTGATTGTGCTACAGAAAACCCCAAAGCACTTGCACCCTCCCAAATCCATGTGAAGCGGGGAGGAAGAGGATCTAGGACATCAGGTTCTGTTTGAGGGACAACAAGGACAAAGGGGATTGGAACCCCAACCCCAGGACAACACTCAGGTTGGGGAGAACCTATTGGCCATGCTGGCTGAGCAAGGTCAGAATCTGTAGCATTTTTTTTTTTTTTTTTTTTTGAGACAGAGCGGAGTATCACTCTGTCGCCCAGGCTAGAATGCAGTGGCGTGATCTCAGTTCACTGCAACCTCTGCCTCCCAGATTCAAGCGATTCTCGTGCCTCAGCCCTCCGAGTAGCCGGAATGACAGGCATGTACCACGATGCCTGGTTAATTTTTTGTATTTTTAGTAGAGATGGGGTTGTGCCATGTTGGCCGGGCTGGTCTCGAGCTCCTGACCTCAGGTGATCCACCTGCCTTGGCCTCCCAATGTGCTGGGATTAGAGACGTGAGCCACCATGCCTGGCCAGAATCTGCATCATTTTAAGAGACGGGGAAAAGAATGTCCTCGAGATTAAAATAATTGTTGTACACTCAACGTTTTAGAAATATTTTTAAGTAAGGGGAAACTATTACTCCAACTGAATCAGATCCATTGAGCAGGATGGTTTAGGAAAAGGAGAATCCCATAGAATCCAGCTGTCTCTAATGTGAACTACCTGCTTGTTTCACACACATAATGTCCTCTAGTGCTCTTAATAATGCTAACTAAAGGAGCCCTGAAACTCTGTTGCCACTGGGGAACGTGAAGTCAGCTATGCAATGGAACTGTGTTTCCAGCAAATGTTGTGAGAGTCTTCAGAAGTGGCCACAGAACAGGCTGTTAGGAAGAAGTTAAGTTGGTGCCTAAATTCCACCAAGAAAATGACAGAGATGGAATCTCTTTAACATTTAAACCTGTAATCTCTAAGGACTCATCATTTTAAATAACCCTTCTGATATGCATTAGGGTAGAATAATAAGTGCAATGATTTATTAGGTTAGAAGATTTTAAAATGGTACCATTTTGTGATAATAACCTACAATAATATGTTAAAACACACGGTTGGCCAGGCACGGCCAAAGTGTAATCCCAGCACTTTGGGAGGCCAAGGCAGGTGCTTCACTTGAGGTCAGGAGTTAGAGACCAGCCTGACCAACATGGTGAAACCCCGTCTCTACCAAAAATATAAAATTAGCTGGGCATGGTGGTGTATGCGTGTTATCTCAGCTACTCAGGAGGCTGAGGCAGGAGAATCGCTTGAACCCGGGAGGTGGAAGGTTGCAGAGAGCCGAGATCGGGCCATTGCGCTTCAGCCTGGGCAACAAGAGCGAAACTCTGTCTAAAAAACAAAATTGTTGCATGTATTTAAATGTGCATGCGTGTGTGTGCACACATGTATGAATGGGCATGTACTGCTGGGTTAACTGTTAATATTGGTTATTTGGTATTTCTGTAACCAAAGAGATGTGTGGTAATACGCTTTATAAAGTACAGCTGAAATATCAGCTATTAGTTACTGTTAAGAGTAGACTAGGCCGGGCGCGGTGGCTCAAGCCTGTAATCCCAGCACTTTGGGAGGCCGAGACGGGCGGATCACGAGGTCAGGAGATCGAGACCATCCTGGCTAACGCGGTGAAACCCCGTCTCTACTAAAAAATACAAAAAACTAGCTGGGCGAGGTGGCGGGCGCCTGTAGTCCCAGCTACTCGGGAGGCTGAGGCAGGAGAATGGCGTAAACCTGGGAGGCGGAGCTTGCAGTGAGCTGAGATCCGGCCACTGCACTCTAGCCTGGGCGACAGAGCGAGACTCCGTCTCAAAAAACAAACAAAAAAAAAAAGAGTAGACTGTCTGTTTATTTTTTGAGACAGACTCTCACTCTGTCACCCACGCTGGAGTCTACTGGTGCTTGGATGCCATCTTTGCTCACTGCAGCGCTGACCTCCTGGGCTCAGGCAACCCTCCTACCTCAGCCTCCAGAGTAGCTGGAGACATGTGCCACCCTGCTGGACTAATTTCCTTATATATGTACTTCTTTTCTCATGTATATACAGTATCTCACTATGTTGCCCAGGCTGGTCTCAAAATCCTGGGCTCAAGCATTCTCCTGTCTTGGCCTCCCAAAATGCTGAGATTACAGGAATGAGGCACTGTGCCTAGCCTGGCTAAGTGTTTATAAGAATGTCAGTAAATTATTGGAACTAATTATGATTCTGTTAGGAGAAGCTACATGAGAAAAATCAGTTCTTTTAAATAAATGATAACACAATAATATAGTATCTAACTTATTTTTTTCACATCGAAACAATGAATTGGATAAAAAACTGAGAGTGATGATTTCAGATATTTTTTCTCCGCCTCTCTGTGACTTTCAACTGTCCCTCACTGTTAAAGTTTGTCAACCTGTGATAGCATTTCATACAAACACTTAAAGATTAAATGAGATCACGAAAACATGGGTTCTCAGTGGAAAATCAAAAATCTTATTTGTTCTTTAGAACGTGGTTATAATTTCTTTATGAAGCTGCCGATTTACTCACGAAGATTACCGGTGTCATCCACCACCCCCCTCAACTGGGAACCACTTACAGACTGTTTTGTGTGGTGTAGTCAAAGGGTAAGAATTGGCTTCACACCAGCCCACTGGGAAGATGTCCATGGATTCCACGTCAACAATGACCTCTGGAATGGGAGTCTGCAGCCCTGCATGGGAAGAAGTGGAGAAAAGAGGTACGAACAGATCTTACCAACAGAGAAACAGAAGGACAACAGTAACAGAGCATCCCCAACATGGCAGAAAACATTCCTTTATACATTTAAAAACAAAAACAAAATAGCAGCCGTATGGAGGAGACGACTTTAGAGGAGTCTTTAGTCTTATCACAGACACAAATGCTTGAAATATAAAAAGGCAGGGATAAAAGGGGTTCAAATAAAGAGAGGGTTTGGAAAAACAGAGATACTCCACCCTAAAAATAAAAGAAGAAGAAGGACTGTAGGAAAAGATTGGCATTGGAGCAGGATTGGCTGAAAGAGAGACCGGGCATCCCCCTGTCCTAAGAACAGCTCTGGGGTTAAGGGAATGTATCGGAGCTTGGGGTGGGACCTCAGGGCCCACATCTAAGCCTTCACGATGTGCTCCACCCAACACCAAGTAAAGGCAATCTTCAATGAAAGAAAGACAAACGTCACAGCTAAACGGAACCAGTAAACCTCAAACACAAGGTTTATGAGCAGTGTACATGGACAAGGCCCTTCTCTAGGAAACGTGTCGACTTATCAGTTTGGAGTTACTTTGTTTTGAATTCAGTCTGTGGCCGGTAGACTTTGGCCATGCCATGGAAAAGTCACTTATGTAGCAATGTCTAAAAGATCCCACTAAAAAGTGCGACCTGATGACTATCACACCCTATTTCATAATTACAGTCATGCCTTGTGATGACCTGGCTTCACAGCCATGGAACTCTGAAAAAGAAAAGAAGTCTGGATTTAACAGCAGCAAAAGTTTCAAGGAGCTCTGGCTATGGAGAGAATAAATTTGGAACCAGTTAAAAGAAGAAAATTTGACACCAAATCAATAGTTAAGGGAAAAAAACACTTTGAACCAGGAATCAAGAGTTAAGAGCTCCATTAATAGACGGTGACCCATGGACTCTGACCCCCTGAATCCAGCTCTGCTTTGGTTTCCTCACTGAGAACTAAGATGAAAATAACATAGCGGCTGGGCACGGTGGCTCATGACTGTAATCCCAGCTCTTTGGGAGGCCAAGGCAAGCAAATTGCTTGAGCCCAGGAGTTCAAGATCAGCCTGGGTAACATGGCAAGACCTCGTCTCTACAAAAAATACAAAATTAGCCTGGCATGGTGGCATGCACCAGTAGTCTCAGCTACTCAGGAGGCTGAGGCAGGAGGACTGCCTGAGTCCCAGAAGTTTGAGACCAGCCTGGCCAATATGAAGAAACTTTGTCTCTACAAAAAATACAAAATTAGCCTGGCATGGTAGCAGGTGCCCGTGGTCCTAGCAACTTGAGAGGCTGAGGTGGAAGGATCGCTCACATCTGGGAGGTCAAGGTTGCAGTGAGCAGTGATTGCACCAATGCACTCTGGCCTAAGTGACAGAGTGAGATGCTGTCAAGAAAGAAGAAAAGAAAGAGAGAAAGAGAGAGAGAGAGAGGGAGGGAGGGAGGGAAGGAAGGAAGGAAGGAAGGAAGGAAGGGAGGCGAGGGAGGGAGGGAGGAGAAGGAAGGCGGAGAAGGCGACGGGAGGAAGGCTAAGGAAGGAAAGGAGGAAGGGAGGGAGGTAGGACGACGAGGAAGGAAGAGGGGAAGAATGGATGTGGATGGAGTGGAAGGAGAAGGCGTGAAGATAAGGTAAGTGATGGGAGGGGAGGGAACGGAAGGAAAGAAGGAAGGAAGGAAGGAAGGAAGGGAGGAAGGGAGGGAGGAAGGGAAGAAGGGAGGAAGGGAGGGAGGAAGGGAGGAAGGGAGGAAGGGAAAGAAAATAACGCGGTGAGTCCCATTACCATCCATGTCATCTCATGACATCTGAAGAATTTTGAATCACATCCTCCCTCCCCACCAAAACCGTAACTTCATGAAGCTAAATACCAACAACCAAACACAAAATGGTCCTAAATCTGGTGCGAGCTCCACCAGCTCTGACTTTTCATCATCAAGTAGACATGGTGAAGATGGAGTATGTTAGTTGCTAAACGTGGGGTTCCAATTTAGAGTTAAGCCAATATATTGGTGTATCTCAGGTGCTCTGAACATGGACAGCAGGTGCTTATACACACATACTATCATTGCCATTCATCATTTTGAACTTTTGATTGGTTCCCAAATCAATTATCACGATTGTCAGTCTTTTTAAATGTTTAATTCCCCTATAATTTAAAGAATATAGAATTAAAAGGAATGCTAGGAGGTTTATAGGGTTTATTTTTGAACAACGTTAAATAAATAGACATCGTTTCTTTCTAATATTATAAGACTTGACCAATATTTAACCTAATTGCTAAAGGAATCAAACAAGAAAGAATATGTTCAAAACAGACAAAACGTAAAGAAACTCTCCCCAGAGGCATCCAATGTAGAAGTGCCTCTGCCTGTCCTGAAGGGTCTGGGATTGATTCTCCAGAGTCCAACAAAGTGGGTCCCTGGGCAGGTTCCCGATACACAAGGTCATTTTCTCCTCTGCAGACCCAAAAAGCATTTGTTTCTCAGCTACTCAAAAATTTTGCTAACAGGTTAGATTCATCTACTAAATACATTTATATTTCCAGATTTGTGTTTAGCTACAAATAAGATTTTCAAGGTCATTAAAAGTAGTACTTCAAAAGGAAGCATAAAAGTAACTTTATATTGGGAGGCTGAGGTGGGTGGATCACTTGAGGTCAGGAGTTCAAGACCAGCCTGCCCAATATGGCAAAACCCCGTCTACTAAAAATACAAAAAATTAGCTGGGCGTGGTGGGGGTGCCTGTAATCCCAGCTACTTGGGAGGCTGAGGCAGGAGACTCACTTGAACTTGGGAGGTGGAGGTTACAGTGTGCTGAGATCATGCCACTACACTCCAGCCTGGGCAATAAAAGTGAAACTCCATCTCAAGAAAAAAAAAAAAAAAAAAAAAAACCCAAAAAAACTAACTATATGGCTTATACCTTCCTAAATTACGACTTTCATCTTCCAATGTTCTGCTAGTTCAAACATCACATCCTATTATGGCTTTAATATATATATACTTCAGTACAATGTATACATTAGTACATAGGTAGGTCCGTCTTTATCATACTTTAGAATCCTTTGATCAAGGTTCCCATCCAATTAAACAAGTATTTATGAGGTCACATGTGTCTATTAAATAAGAACTGATGGAAAAGTCAGTTATCTATCACCTGGGAAAGTGTTCCTGACCCTGAACAAATCCCATTCCAAATAATGGGTACCAACTCTTCATTTCCCTTTACCAAGCTTATGAATCTACATTTATCTGGCTGGATTCAGACAACCATCTTTTAAAACAAACTAATTATTTTCCAAGATAGGAGACCCAAGAGCATGTCAAATAGTCCATTGAAAGAATGTCCACCATGCTCCTCCTTGATTATTTGAGGACTGCCAAAAGTACATAGGCAAAGGTGAATGTTCCACTTAAGACGTGTATGATTTTATAGAAAAATCCTGACGCGTCGCTTCTCGGCCTTTTGGCTAAGATCAAGCAAAAAATCCCCAACACACAACACAAGACCATGCTCAGTCTCTCGACTTTGCCTAAGCTGCATCTGGTCAGCATGGATTCTACTTGTTTATTTTTATCCAGAACCTTCGTCTCAAAGACCATGAGGAAGCTGAATTTCCCATCTATGGGAAAGCACTTAAGTAAATCTGGGTACATCCATGTGAGGGAATATTCTGCAGCTATAAAAAAGAATCAGACACCTCTTAATATACTCATACACACAGATCTGCAAGATGCATTGCCGAGTATAAAACGCAGGATGCTGAACACTGTGCATATATAGTATGCTACCATCTGTTTAAAAGGGAGAGATAACATATATCCGTATGCGCATAAAATAAATCTGGAAGGAAATGCAAAATGCTAACCCAGTGGGCGTCCACAGGGAAAGGAACCAGGTGGCTGGAGGCCGGAGGCACAGGAGTGGAGGGAGAATCTGACCCAGGATACACCTTTATGATTTTTTGGCCTTTGTGAATGAGTTCCCTATTTTACAACCAAGGCCTCCGCAATCACCACCATTGTAACAACACAACCAAAGATACCCGGAGAAGAAAGCAGGACTCTCATACATAAATACGGTATTGCCGCAGAGGTCAGATTAATGAGGAGCCAATTACCATAAAGGAAAACAAAACTAAACAGCAATCAACATTTCGCTTTCTAAGAGAACAAAGACTTTCCGTACTCACACACTAAATTCATAAGAACACAGATTTCTGAGAATCTCTTTGGAACCTTAAGAGAGTTCTGCAGCTTGCTACCCCCTTGTCCCCGGTTCAGCAGAACGCAGAGGTCCACCTGCCGCTCTCACTGCAACCGCACCCCGGCTCCACCCAGCCGATGACACAGGGGACTGTAATCGAGGCAGTGACCTACGCTACCCAGAGCCCTGGGATGAAAAAGGAGATGCTTATGGCTTGGGAGGACACCTGTATGTCTTCCTAGGAACACAATTCTATCAGACTCCTAAAATTATGTGATTACTTCACTCCCAGCGAGTCATAGGAGAAAGCACGAGCATGCATGAGCTTGTGGTGAGAGATGCCACAGGGCTGCAGAGGTAAGAGGGACCCAGGGCGAGGGGGGCTACAAGCCCACCGCGAGGAGGCAAATGCATTCCTCCTCCTTCAGGAAGAAAATCAGAACAACTGCTTCCGCTCAGTTAAAGGCTGGAATAAGAAGGAAAAGAAGCATTTAAGGGAACACCTTGCCTAAGAAATGTCCCTACTGAAAGTTAAAGGGCTCGGCAAATGCTGACAGGCTCTAGTGTGAGATCAACAGGCAAAACACCAGCAGAACGCAAAGCTGGTGTGAGTGCCCACAAGCAAGACCTGGATGCTGGAAGCCCCATCTGCCCCCCGGGCCCGTTCCCTTAAAAGATGCCTATCAAGAAGCCCAGTGTGCAGATCCTCCCTGGGTCAGCTCTGGAGCCGAAGGCCTGGGAAAACAAAAACAAAAACA